CCCCCCCCCCCCCCCCCCCCCCAAAAAAGTGAAAAACCGCTAAGTAGGAATGCTATATTTATTTTATTATTTATAAGTATTTTAAGGCTTTAGAAACTCTTCCTACTTTCTTGCAATGTTCTGAACTCTTAAATCTATGTCATTTTAACAACATGTGTATATGTACTGTACAGTACTTCAACATTTTACTCACCAGCTCTGCAGAACACAACAGCTCGGTTCTGGTCCAGCTCGGTTCCAGTTCGGCAGACCTACCGTGCAGTGACGAAGCCCACAATGTTCTAAACTCTTAAACCTATGTAATTTGAAGCACCGCTGAGCACCAAGACGCTTTTAGAGAGAGACGGACCTTCAGAGAGTCAGCACAAAACCACAAAATGGTCCAGATCGAGTCTAAATCCGGATGAAAAAGTCCCGGTGAGCTCTGGAGAAAACACCGGACCTCCAAGCAACGCATCCCCGCTCGAGAGGCCTCATGGTCCAGCAAGCAGCACTCAGATTGACCGATGAGGTTGGAAGTCCGGTTCTGGCCCAATTCCCGGTCGGTTCCGTACGGCTCGCTGCATTCACTGAGCGCCGAAGTCACTATGAATAAGGACCAAATTTTTTCGGATCACATCAAAACTTCCTTCCATTTCAGCAGAAAGCAACGGCTGGAAGCACTATTGACTTCTGGGAAATGTAGTCATTTTGAGTGGTGATACAGTGTAGGCTTATTGAGAGAAAACTACAAATGGGCGGCACCGGTCTGAAGTTTGTTTTTTTTATTAACTTTTTACAGTATCCCGTACTGTCCCAATCATGTGCATAATATTAAAGTTGTCAATCTTGTGTCGTGTACAATTTTTTTTCTCGTGTACAATCTTACTTTGAAAAACCACAAAAGAGCGAGGCTGCAAAACTTGAATTGCAAAGTAGTGAGGGACTGCATATACATTGTTGTGTCAGTTGAAATTGATTAGCTGTGGTGGCCATACTGAATTAGGTTAACTCCAGAAGTCAGTCAGTTGTAGATGTACATAAAGGGATAGTTTTAGGAGAATCTCATTCAAATCTCTCCAGTGGTTCATGAGAAAAATTCATAACAGACACATAAAAAAACAGACATGGGCAATTACATGATCGCCTGGTTTAAAAACATTAAATACTCATGTTTTACAGCATTAAGCACAAAAATGTATGATTTATTTAGATTAATTTCCAACTGTCATTCTGATGGAACATGTATGTTTTCATTATAAGACACTCAAACTTTGCACAACCGTTGTCCTCATGCTTTTAGATGTACAGCATTGGTACTGTTTTCTTATTAAACTTCATTTTAGCTGTTTCTTTGTGGACATCAAACATTTCTTGTTTGTGTTTTAGAAGTTTTCAAGAAAACTTATTGTGCAGAAAGTGGTTTGAAACGTTAACTCTTATCTCCTGCATACAAATAAACAGAAGCATAAACACAAAAACCAAAACGTGTGAATAGCTCAGCGCTTAATTTAGCTAACCATCGTCTCAGAATAATCCCTCTGCTGAATTTTGTAGATATCATCTGCCTGGTTGAGTAGTTTTTCTTTCACACAGCAGCACATTTTATTTCTCACCACATACTGTAACTCGTCGCTCTCTGGCCTCACTCAGGCCACTTTGAAGTATCTGTGGGAGAAGGAGTACCAGGTGCTTGTTTTCTACCACCACCCCATGGCGCTGGAGGTGCCCTTCCTCTGGCCAGGTCAGATGATGCCAGCTCCGTGGGCCAATACCACCGACCCAGAGAAGCTGCTTCAGTTCCTGCAGGCATCTGTAACTGATCGCAGGTTTGTTGGGAGACATTTTGTTTTCTCCTATCATATTATCATAAATAATTTATTTCTTGTTTGTAAAATTGTCAAGGTTTATATTTGTTCCCTTATTTTTTGGGGGCCATAATTGGAGTTTAAGGTGTTGTATCAAACCTTTTTGTTTACTGTAAAATAATGGCCACCCCTTGTTCTTTGTAGTTTATAAGCTTACTGCTACAAGTTTGAGATAGTTCAGATGAAGTAACTGTAATTTATTGTATGAAAACATTTATTTTTAAAAGCCTAGCATTTTTTTTTTAAAGGAATGCAGATCTAAGATCATCTTATGTGGAGAAATAGATTTATAACCATTTTGGCCTAACCTTGAACATAAAGCTCTGTGCAATTATTTGCTCTATCACAAGGCATCACTCTTAAAATGTGTTGTGGATGACTGTCAGCTACTACCACATCAAATTTAAGGGCAACGTTTGTAAAACTGACTGAGCTTTAGGTATTTTTGAGATGGCTAATGTTAATTAGCTGTAGTGGCCATCTTTAAAAAGACTGAAAACGTTAATCAGCTGTAGATGCGCATCCAAAGATTAGTTTCTAAGACTGTCCCCAAATCCTGTTCAGTGGTTCATGAGCTATTTTGCTGATAAAATGTTCACTCCAATAGTTAAAGCTAAAGATTTAGGTAAAGATCAAACTTGGAGTATATGTTTTGAATACCTCTTAGCTTAAACTACACACAATTTTAGCTCAGGATCTGTAAAAATGGACTTACTTGTGGTTATTTATGTGTATTCTAAGGCTCATTTGTTCATAAAATGTTTTGGGAACAGACAGGCAAAAACTTTATCAGCCAATTTCCCCTTTTGACGTGATAATAAGCAAAATTATATAAAAAAAAAAAACTTCTGATAAAAGAAAAAAGTAGGTATGAATTCAAGTGTTCTCATGTGCATTTTGATTTAATCAATTCAAAAAAAGTCATTCTTTTGTATGCTGGAAAACTGTGCAAAAAAGGATTTCACATCAATTTTTAAATCACACAATAAGAGCAAAAAAAAAAAAAAAAAGAAGTAAAATTCTGACCTGTTCCTTGCAGGAGGAAGGGGACATTCTTCGTCTCCCAGGTGGTTCTGACGCCAAAGGCGAGCACTGTCATGAAGGGTGTGGCCAGCGGACTGAGGGAGACAATCACAGAAAGGTGCATTCTCCTGATAGAAACAAAATACACTTTTTGTAATGCTCACATGCCATTTACCACCCAAAATGCAAATATTCTAGGATTAACATCTACAATGGTGCCCACTGGCACGTTAAGACCAAAATTTTTGTAACACCTCAGTTGAACAAGGCCTCCAAAATGACATTTTTGCACAATCACCCCCAAAAATAATGAGTGTGTGCATGTGTAGCTGCTCACTTAAAAACGCTCCTGCTGCTGTGGCATTTAATACCTTTTTCAAGATGCATGCTGGTTGCTACAGGTGCCTCCAGGCATTGGCACTGACCTCGTTTAGAAGGTGTCCTCATTCATGTGTCCTCTGTGTTGCAAGATTTTTTTTTTAAATTCCAGATTTACCCTCAACTTTATCTGTTGCACTCACTCTTAATATCACCAGTTCATTAAAAGCCTCGGCGGCAAAACCATCAATTTTCCAGGCATGAATTATTCATTTGATAATTCCACTATCAGCCATTCTCATCAAGTGTTCAGCTACTTTGATGCAGGCATTCTTAAAAGTTCCCAGCCTTCATTTAGCCACACAAACTGGCAGTTGTGGGACCGGGCAAGCATGAAGGGGAGAAAACCGCAAGAATGTCATTCATGTGAAACCAGGCATCTGCAGGGATGATGCTCTTTCTTCCCTGCTGCTCTCCTCACATGAGCGTGTCCAGTGAGTGTTAAGTGTGTCCTTCTTGCAGCCACACAGCAGCTGTAAAAAAGACACAGCCAGACATCACATGCTGCGTCACAGAGATGTTTTATCACAGCGTGCCCATCTCTGTGTTCAACCAGTCAACCATGAATCATCCTGTCTTCTGTCCTCTTTCAACCCCAATTCTGATAGAATTGGAACATTCTAAAAAAAAAAAAAAAAAAAAAAAATCCTTTTTTACTCACAATGGGATCAAGTAAAATATCAAACGTTTACAAAGAAATGGTACCATTCAAAATAAAATCAGTTAACTTAGAATAAGGAGATCGGCTGCTGGGGTGTTTTGAGAGGGGGTGTTGTCTCGTTCTTGTCCGATGTGGGATATCAGCTGTTAATCAGACCTGGATCTGCTTTGTTTGATTTTTCATTTCATGATGTGCCAAATGTTTTCAGTTGCTGAGAGGGTTGAGAGCTTCAGGCTCAGGTTCAGCACTTACACTCTTCTATTACAAAGGCATGCTCTTGTAATGGATGCAGTATGCTGCATTGTCTTGCTGAAATATGCAATGCATTCCCTGAAAATGATGTCATCTGGAGCAGATTATGACTTGTACATACATTTCTGCATTGATGTGTAAAGTGCCCATGTCATGGTCAGTAATGCACCCCCATACCATCAGAGAGGCAGGCTTTTAAACTGTGTGCTTATAACTGACTGGATGGTCCCTCTCTTCTTTATTATGGAATATTTGGAAGTATTTTTTCCACAGACATCTTCAGACGTTAATTTTTATGCCCACAGAACAGTTTTCCACTTTGCATCAGACTATTTCGAATGAGCTTTGGCTCAGAGAAGACGGCAGCTTTCTCAGATGGTGTTCACATATGCTTTCTTTGCATGATACAGCTTTAACCTGCATTTATAGATATCACAGCAAACTGTATTAACAGATAGGAATTTGTGAAAGTTCTTGAGCCCTTCAGGTCTGTAACAGAATCAGACTTGTTTTTAATGCAGAGCTACCTGAGGGCCTGGAGGTCAGTGTTGACTTTTGGCCTTCTCTGCACACAGAGGGTTCTCCAGATTCTTGGAAGATATTTTATAAATTGTAGGTGATGGGATATCCAAAGTCTTCTCAATTTTCTGTTGAAGAACATAGTTCTAAAATTGTTTTACTATCATATTTTTCTGACTATAAGGCGCACTTGAAATCCTTTAGTTTTCTCAAAAATCAACAGTGAGCCTTATAATCAGGTGCACTTTATGCATTAATTCTGGTTGTACTTACTGACGTCGAACCGATTTTATGTGGTTATTGTGAATGAGTTGAATAAAGTTTGACTTATCTGACTGTTATTTTGCTTACTGCGCCTTATGTATGAAAACAGACCCGTTCGTTGATATTGTGCCTTATAGTCAGAAAAATACGGTATTTGTAGACACATTTTTTTCACAGACTGGCGAACCCATGCCCATCTTTGCTGCTGAAAGTTTCAACCTATCTCAATGCTCTTTTTGAATCTTCATCCTCTTACTGGCCTGTTGTTAATTAGGCTACTATATTATATGGGGCAAAGGGCAGGCCCCGGAGGCCATTTATCACCAGCAAACTGTTTTTTTCCACTCTGGGAGTGAGCTGTTTGTGGGATTCAGTTTGGTTTGGTGAGCTCCTCAGACTGAAGAAGTCCTTCAGATGATGGATGAAACATCTCAGCAGCAAAAGAAACCATCCAGATGACTGACTGAACATTGTTGGATTTATACCTAGATTAATAAGCATGAACGTTTATGTTAATTAAGCTAAATTGTTGCTCTTCCAGCTTTTTTTTATTCATACCACTCATTTTTACAACTTTTTTTTGTTCCTGTTTCATCTTGTTTGATTCATGGTGCTGCCTAAAATTCAAAATTATCCTATTTAAAAACAGTATAAATTCATCGTTTAAGCATTTGATTTATTTACTTTGTTCTATTGTGCACAAAATATTGGTTTCTGCATTTTTTTTCTAATCATTGTACTTTGTTTTTAATTTGCATTTTACACAATGACACAACCTTCTCAGAAATGTTAAAAAAAAAATAAAAAAAATAAAATCCACCTTTGTACTTTTCCCACAAATCTGACGTTTTGTGTTTGTGATTCCTTGCTTCATCGCAGGGCATTACCCGGCATGATGCAGTGGATCAGATCACAACGACCCGGGGAGAGCGGCATCAACATCATCACAGCAGATTTTGTCGAACTAGGAGAATTCATCAGCGCTGTCATCAGTCTTAACTATCACCACCTGGATGAAGACGACGACGACGCGACCTGAGAGCCCACAGCGGGGCGTCGGAGAGCGCAGGAGACGCCACAGTAGGCGGAGTGGTCGGGTCTGGGCTCTCACCCTTTTTCTCTTTGGCATTTATTTCAGAAAGGAAGCCACACACTTCCTTTCACTTTATTTAGGGCTATAGAGGACTGAGAGGGGTTGAGAAGAGATATGACGACGTTAGGTTGGAGCACTATGAGAATGAGGTTTGTCCTGTTTTGGGGGTATAAAAACTTTTCTTGTTCTCATTTCCTGCTGTAAAAATACCTGCTTTCCCCACTAATCAAATGCACTGTTCAAACACAGATTAGGGCTTAATAACGCTCTATAATTGTACCTTTACTCAAGTCTTAATATTATAGTGATAGTAACAGTCTATTCAAGGATGTTTAAATAAATACTGTATGTGTAATTGAAATTATTGGCTCTTGTATGTAGCTTGCTTTTCTGTGTCTGGTTTAGAAAACCAGTTCAAATAGTCTTATTTTTATGTCCTTTTCAAACAATATGCATCCCCGGTCAGATCCCTGCAGGTGTTTTTTCCCCTTTCTTTAAACGCCTCCATCAGCTTGAATGCAGTGTGTGTTTAAAATGTGTTGTCGCGATGTGTTTGTTACACCCTCAGTTTTTATCTCCTATTGGCTTTTTACTCAGTAATGGCCTCAACTGAAGTCGGATTGCATTTATCAGGCAGTCCTATATGAAAGTGTGGACTGATTGATTTGAAGCATTGATTCACCGATTCAAAACCACAAAAGGAAGAGAGAGAGCAAGAGTGCAGCTTGGCTAGCTGTTGGAAAAGCACCAATCATGTTGTTACATATATTCTATTTGTGTGCTCTCTTCACAATAATTGTCACATTTATGGCGCAATGAAAAACACAAGAAAAGCATCAGCTCTCACTATAGGAAATGCACTACATGCAGCCAGCCATTTCTAATGGTTATTACGAAGCATTCATTGTACTATGTGCTGGTTTCTGAGTCGTGACAGCAAAGTGTGAAAATATATTATATTTGGGCACATGACTGTAACCATTTCACAGTCTCTCTCCTTTGCTGGTAGCTTGCCCTCTCAGTGTTTGGGCTTGATGCAGCGATTCTGAGTCATCATGAGATGCATTGTGGTGGTGTTGTGTCTTTTATAATAACAGGTGACAAAACTTCTTAATTTTCGTCATCTGTTAAAAGATAATGGGTCAGGGAGTGTAAATGTCACTAATAAATGTACAGATATAATCTAACTGTAGCTCTTTCATGGAGATTACATGTTTCGATATCCCTGAATTTATCTTGTGGAACTGCTGGCACAGCACAATTCTACACTAGTTTTGATTTTGGTGCTTTTATTTTATACATTTTGTGTGTATATTTTGTGATCTTAAAGCGTAGTAAAATAGCTCTTGGAAAAACGGGAGAAAAGATTCTGCTTTTTATTCAGGAAACAGAATTTCGTATCTGTTAAGTATTCCCACTCCTTCAATTAATTTGGCATTTTCTGTAGATTGTATTCTGCCAGGACGTTGTTGTCAAGTTTAGTACTGTGAAGCCAAAATAAAAATAAAAATATTATAAATAATGCCAGCTCACTGAGTTGGTAAATGTGTGTTTTGTGAGTAACTGTCGTTTCTAATAGTCTCCCTGAGTGACTGAGATTAAGCCTGAAAGTCATATTTGTATTATAAGCTTCAACGCTTCCACCTCTGTGTGGTCCATGCCATGTTTTTTTTTATTGTGGAGCGTTTCTACATTCTGGAATAGCAAATGTCACTGCCAACAATATGTGAATTCAGTTCTAACTACAAGTCGTTCACATTTATATAACTTAAGTGAGCTGCCGAACAGCTCTCGTTTTTCAAACACGTGTGCTCTTCACTTTTGTGCATGAGAAAAAGTTTTTATAAATACTGATTGCTGTACATCAATAGGATCCATTGCCGTTTTTGCATATTGCCCTGACCAGCATGTTAATGTAAAATTAAGATGTTCCTTCCCTTTAAAACAAAAAAATAAATAAAAACACAGCAAAAACGTAGATTTATTTTTTAAGTGTTGCACTACTACATCCCACTCTAAACCACTTAAATATGAAGGTTGCAAATTGTGTTGTGTCCTACCTGGTCCAAGCTGTTTGTCATTGCCCTTGTTTTCTGATGTGATGAGTCTTTCGCTGTTGTAAAACCCTGAATCATTTTGCTCAAATTAAAGTGACTGTTTTAAGTGGAAAAAGGTCCATCCAATAAAGCTTCTTTGCCTTTGAGTTGAAGTGTTATTGTATGAACAGATGTTGAGTGGTGATTGGCGATTAGTTTCTTGACTGTGACTTGTACAAGAACACCCACTTCGAATGTTATCAGCCATTAAATTTCCGTTATTAGTTGTTATCATCACCATAGGTTTCCTTCAGCCTGTACCTCCTAGTGGGCTCAGTAGTTTATCAGATAATTATAAGGTTGGGGTTATATCTGAACAGAATTATAGTACTTTATATATTGCTATACTGTATATGAATTGACCAGCAAATCGCTCATATCAAACAAACAAAAAACAACAAATCCTCATACCGAATTAAAGCCAAATCTGGAATTCATTTGAAGTAAATCCTTGATATCCAGCTTAAAAGTATTAGGTAAATTTTAAATAAAGGTTTTAAATAAAGATTAAAACAAAGCTTCCATTTTTAGATGCGGGCGAAGCTGCATATTATCAGCCATAAGAACATACCTTTAAACCTAGGAGGTACAGTCTTAAGACAACCTATGGGGATGATGACAACTGATAACAGTCATTTAATGGGCTGATAACATTCTAAGCAGCTTACAAGAAGGTTTTAAAAAGGCATATTTTTAGATTTTGTACAGATTTTCAGAACTTGATCTAGCCTACAAGAATGTAGCGCAGTGTCAGTGCATAGAAAAGAGCATGGGCAGCAGCACCTGGGTAATAACCTTCTTGCATGAATAATAATGTTTTGCTTGAATAATGGAGCAATGCAAAATTCAAAAAATAGCATTTGCATGAACCAGCTATAAAACCTTTGATATTGAAATTAATTAAAAATAGTCCACATACGTGCTTGAACTAGCCATCAATTTTATAAAAATTATTCTTTGTTTTCCAAACTGAGGTTGTTCAAATCTATCTACAACTGGCATGATTAATAATTGTTCATACTTTCACAGATCCCCACTTAAAAATATTTGAATTCTACCTTTAAAAGGAAACTCGCTGCTATGAGCAATTAGCAGGGTTCTTCCCTCGAAGCCACTCGGTTGAGATGTGTTAACAGAGATAAACTCACACTAAAGCAGGATGAGTATCACGTTCTTTGTTGGCACATTTCACAGGAGGTGAGCGAAACAGCTGCACTTTAATTGATCACAAAATAGGAAGGTTCTTAAAAACCTTGTTTTTTTGTATTTATTCCATCAAGTCACTGCAGGTCTTTTATAAAGCTGAACTAATAAGAAAAGTATTAAAAAAAAATCACTAATCCAGAGAATGGGTTCCACACAAATGATCGTTTGTAGAAGGAATAACGTGTGGCTGAGAGTGTGTGCACATTAGTGTCTGTCACGCACACAGCAGTGAAGAGGAGGTAAAGGTGTGGGAGGCAGAGATGGATGATGGCATTCAGACGGTTTAAAGAGGGGCAGTGATGAGATGTGCACTTTTATGAAAGTTTGGAGAGTGTGCAGGAGGAGGAGGAGTGATTTTACCAGCACTTCTGTTCTACTCTGAAGGCACGTGTGTACAAGATGACAACTGAATTGCCAACAATGGGTTAAATTTTGCTTTTGCCATAAAGGCCTTTAAAACGTACTGTAAGTTATAATGAAGATGTACACAAAATAACAATAGATCAAAATGACAAATGTCAAAGGGAAAGCTGGCAATATGAAACAAATGGTCAAAGAAAAGGAGACAGAGCATTTACTTATTACTTTATCACCAAAAGATCCACAAGTCAGAAGAAGCCCGTGATCACTCACGCCCCTTTTAACCTCTGAAAATGTCCCAGTCTGAGCTTCGACTGCAGAATTAAACATACTTTTTGTCTCTTTTCTGTTTCTGTTTGAGGAATGGTCCCTTATTTTGACCCCATGTAAAGACACTCGTTTCTCAAGCTGCATTTCAGTTCTGATCATCAAAAATGTTTGGTATATTCACTGCAAGCTTGTGAATGCAGCTCTTTTAGTACATACACTGCATTTTACTGCTGCATAATTCATCCATCCATTATCTACTCGCTTCACATTTCAATTCAGTTTATTTATATAGCGCCAAGTCACAACAGAAGTCATCTCAGGGCACTGAACAGAAACAGACATATTAATAAAAAGTAAGTTAATAACATTAATTATCAGAGGAGCAGAAAAGTTTAACTTTATCGCAGACTCTCATCTTGAGCAAGCATGAAGGTGACAGTGGAACGGAAAAACTCGCTCATGAGGAAGAAACCTCCAGCAGAACCAGGCTCAGGACAATCTGCTTCTACCGGCTAAGGAAAATGTGTGATTTACTTAAAAGTAATTCAACTTATTTAATTTAAGTGTGTGAATACGTATTGGCAATAAAAGTACAGTTTACTGATGTACTCTAAATGAACAGAAATTTAAAGGCCTAACGCTCCTGGACGGAAGGCATATCATCATATAATGAGCGATAAAAATAAATAATGATTGCTTTCTGAGCGTTTCATTAAAATCTGTCCAGTATTTCATTTGATATTTTGCTAACAGACAGACACAGTTGACTCTAATAGTTAAAATGAGTTGCCAGATTGTTGAAGAAGACTGGTTGGAATGATCTGAACAAATCAGATGAGGTTAAGTCAGAAGAAGATTGAATGCCAGGTCAAAGCTTATGCTCAATAATCCAGGTAAAAAAATCCAACAACGTTCTGTCAGGTCATTTGGATGGTTTCGTTCTTTGTTGAGACATTTTGTCCTTCATCCAAAGGACTTCATCAGTCCGAGGACCCACAACAGCCATTTTCTCACCAGTAAACTGGTTGGCCCACTATGTGAGTGTGCTGTTCCTCGGACTGATGAAGTCCTTTGGATGAAGGGTGAAACGTCTCAACAACAAAAAAAAAGAAACGTCCAGGTGACCTGCCTTAACTTTGCTGGACTGAATGACAGACTCTCTTAAATGTAGAATGATGACATAAATATCGGTCTAAAAAAACTGTTAACAACTTATTAGTGTTAAAATTGTACAGATTATCAGACCAAAGTAACAAAACTGATATAAACTTAAACATCATTGCAATATTACCGTTTTGCACATTGAATT